CCAAAGAAACTAGGAAACATGAAGGACTCTAAGGGATAAATGGTCCCCAGGAATGGAAGTGGCATGAACTCCTGAACTAATTGAGAGCATGAGGGTGGGGGGGAAAGAGCTGCTACAATAAGAGCAAGAGAAGAGGAGAAGAGGAGAGGAAATGGAGGGGGAGAAACATTGAGTTGGGGAAGAATAGAAGAAAGAGAGCAGGATGAGAGATACCATATCAGAGGGAGCCACTACAGGTCCGAGAAGAGATCTGGAACCAGGGAGATCTCCAGAGACCTACAAGGATGACACGATCTGACAATCCAGGCAATGGTGGAAAGGATAACCCAAAAGCCCTTCCCCTAAAATGAGATTGATGACTTCTCTTTATGCCATCCTAGAGCCCTCACCCAGTGGCTGAAGGAAGCAGAGACAGACATCCACAGATATACACTGAGCCGAAATCGGGAATTTAGTTGAAGAGAGGGAGGAATGAAGAACGCAGGGGTCTGTACCAGGTTGAAGAAACCCACAGGAACAGTTGACCTGAACAAGGCAGAGCACATCGACCCCAGATGCTGTCCGGGAGGCCAGTACAAGACTGATCCAGACCCCTGAACATGGATGTCAATAAGGAGGCCTCTGCACTCCAGGGAGCCTCTTGTGGTGGATTAGCATTTTTCCCTGGTGCAAGAAGGGACTTTGAGAGCCCATCCCATGTGAAGGGTTACACTCTGGCCCAGGACCATGAAAAAGATACACAGAAGTAAAAAAAGGAAAAGGCCCAGAGGCAAAAGGTAGAGGGATAATTTAAATTTAGAAAAGCTAGTTAGAAATAAGTCAAGCTAAGACTAGGCTCTTTTTTTTTTTAAGATTTATTTTTATCATATATAGTATTCTGCCTGCATGTTTGCCTACAGGCCAGAAGAGGGCACCAGATCTCATTACTGATGGTTCTGAGCGACCATGTGGTTGCTGGGAATCAGGACCTCTGGGAGGACAGCCGGAGCTCTAACCACTGAGCCATCTCTCCAGCCCCAATACCAGGCATTTATAAGAAATAATAAGCCTCCATGTAATGATTTGGCAGTTCCCCTACCCCCCCCAAAAAGAGTAAAGAATAAAAAAAAAACAATGACAGCATTTTGGTGTACCAATGTGCGGCTCAAAGAATTTCCATAGGGCCTGAGAAAGCTTGAAAAACAAAAACAAAAACAAAACCACTCCTTTAAGAAACCCTGCTGTATAGCAGAGCACTTCAACAGCATTTTTCACACTAAATAGAAACAAACAAAAACAAAAAACAAAAAACAAAAAACAAAACAGAAAAACCGCCTGCCACAGTTCATGCACTGGATTCCAAAGCTGGGGGGTTGAATGCATTTATTGGTCAAATACACCTCCAACTGGCCTCGAGTTTTAGCCGGTATTCTCATCATAGCCTTTGCTAGTACTAATGTCAACAAAGAGTTTAATATAGCTTACACTTTTGGGGTTACCTTCTCAGGTCTTTAATAGGGGACCTGCAGAATGTAACTGAAGTATAGGAGAAGGAGAAAGGAGAAACTTCCTTGTTTTTGGCTATTGGTTATTTTCCAAACCTTGTCCCTAAGGCTCATTGCATGAGCATAGTAACAACAGGTTAGAGACTCGATGAGATAAAAGGGCATGCTTTAATGCTAACAAGCCCATCGGAAGAAGCCAAAAGGCTTTCTGTTCAGAGCTTCCTTGGCCTCTCTGCATGCATCAGTCCTTCCTCTCTGGTCCTGGGCACCACCCCTTCTGAAATGGCGTTTTATCACCTGCTACCAGATGTGGGTGCTGGGAACTGAACCTGGTCCACTGCAAGAGTAGGAGATACTTTTAAGCCCTGAGCTCTCTCTCTAGCCCTAGGTTTCTCTTCCTCATAACTTGGGGTTTTGTTGTTGTTGTTTAGGTTTTTTGAGACAGGCTTTTTCTGTGGCTTTAGAGGCTGTCCTGGAACTAGCTCTTGTAGACCAGGCTGGTCTCAAACTCACATAGATCCCCCCAACCCCCACCGAGTGCTGGGACTAAAGGCGTGTGCCACCACCAACCAGCCCATAACTTGGTTTTTAATCCTCAACTTGGATTGAATATACTCTTTTGTTATTGTTTATCAAGACAGGGTTTCTCTGTGACTTTGGAGCCTGTCCTAGAACTTGCTCTGTAGACCATGCTGACCTGAAAGTCACAGAGAACTGCCTGCCTCTGCCTCTGCCTCCCGAGACTTAAAGGGATGTATCACCACTGCCAGGCAAATATACACTCTTTTAATAAACAGTAAGAAAGTACAGAAAAGGCTAATGTCCCTTTGACACCTGTCTTGTTTGCCCTAAGTCATATGACACAACACTGTAGAAACGTCCCTGAATTCCCCGGGTGGTGGTGGGTGCTGGCACATACCTTTAATCCCGCCACTCAGGAGGCAGAGGCAGGTGGATCTCTGATCTCAGGAGGCCAGCCTGATCAACAGAGCGAGTTCAAGAACAGTCAGCGCTACACCCTGTCAGACTTAGTAACTCTTGTTTGCAATTGAATGAAGAAAAGAAATAAAAAGGAAAGGAAACATGGCTGTTCCTAGGTATGATGGAGGAGAAGGTTTATTATAGATATATGAAAAAGCAGAGATAGAGGCAGGGACAGGAACGTCTGGGAGAGTACAGAGGGAACATGCTCAGACTGAGTTGAGTCATGGGGAGGGGGAGGTGGAAGGGAGAAAGGGGAACCAGGTGCAGCAGCCAGGAGCAGGAGGCCCAATGGTACAAAGAGAGGAAGAGGCAACCAAAATGGTTGGATTATACAGGGACAAGCAGCCCAGCTCCCCAGGGCTGGAGAGTTCAGGATAGGGGTGGAGTATGCCAGCCAGGAGGACCCTGTGAAAGGTAGGGGCTGAGAAAGCCAGGAAGAACCTGGCAGCCAGGTTGCTTTGACAATTTAAATAGGCACCTCAGTAGCAAGAAGAGGAGATCATGGCTTCTGAAACAATCTGACAGTCTCTGAAAGGGAAAGGATATGTTCACAGTGAATTACTGCTTGGTTTGGCTTCTCTTCTGTTCTCCTGGCAGACCCCCAATAGCAAGGCTTTTTCTGTTAACCTGATTTGGTTCATATAGTAAAAACAGCTTTTTCTCCAGAATTGTTTGTCAAAAACAGCCAACCAACTGTTTAATAACATTATGTCTGCCTGAGTGGTAGGGAAGTTACTGAGGCAAACAATTGACTTTAAGTAAATGTTTATAAGAAACAGCATGAGCATGAGCATGAGATGTTGAGGAGAGTATATTTTTAAGCTCTATTTCAGTGTGTGTACACATGTGCACCTATGCCCAGCAAAAAGGACATTGGATCCCCTGGAGCTGGAGTTACAGGGGTCTGTGAGTTGCCTGATATGGGTGCTGGGAACTGAGATGAAGGGTTCTGCAAAATACCAACTATAGCTGGGCCTAGTGGCACACACCTTTGATTCCAGCACTGAGGAGGCAGGTGGATCTCTATGAGTTTAAGACCAGCGTGGTCTATGTAGAATTCCAGGACAGCCAGGGATACATGGTGAGACCTTGTCTCAAAACAAAATAACAGCAATAACAGGAATGACAGTTAATTTCTCATCATTGTAACAGAGCAGAACTTATGCTTGCAATATTTATTTTGGCTCCCTTTCAGAGGGTTCAGGTACCATGTGGATTAAGAGCATGACAGAACAGAGCAGATATGGGGGTGGTAGCCAGGAGGGAGAGGGAGAAGGGGGAAGAGAGAGACAGAGACAGAGACAGAGAGAGTGCACTAGGGGGCCCTTATTCCATTCTCCTACCCACCCCCTTAATGGATAATGCCACTAACATGCAGGCCAGGCCTTCCCCTACTTAGTTCATGTTCTCTGGAATCATGCTCAAAGACAGAGAGGAAACAGGAACTACACTTGGCTAATCTCCTCAGCATCTTTCAATCCAATTAAACTGACAATCAGGACTAAGCTTCATTTCCACTAAAATCAGGAACAAGTCAAGGCTGTCCACCCTCCATAACTATTCAATACAGCACTTGAAGACTTAGCTAGAGCAATCAGAAGACTGAAGGAGATCAAGGGGACACAAATAGAAAGGGGAAAACTCAAAGATCTTTATTTGCAGATGAATGATTTCATACATAAAGGACCCTAAAAACTCCACCAGGAAACTTCTACAGCTGATAAACACTTTCAACAAAATAGCAGAACACACCAGGTGGTGGTGAAAGAAGCCATTGATCCCAGCACTCAGGAGGCAGAGGCAGGTAGATCTCTGAGTTCCAGGTCAGCCTGGTCTGCAAAGTGAGTTCCAGAATAGCCACAGCTGCACAGAGAAACCCTGTCTCAAAAAACTAAAACAAAACAAAACAAAAAGTAGCAGGATACAAAATTAGCAGAACAATCAGTAGTTTTCATATAAATAATGACAAGCAGACCAAGAAAGAAATCAGGGAACAATACCTTTACAATCGCCTCACAAGGGGTGGGGGGATTAACCAAGCAAGTGAAAGATTAATATAATGAACATTTTAAGACACTGAAGAAAGAAACTGAAGAAGATATGAAGATATCAGAAGATGGAAAGATCTCTCATACTTGTGGATCAGTAGAATTGATGAAATGAAAATGGCCATCCTACCAAAAGTCATCTACGGATTAAACACAACCCCATAAAAATTCCACAAAATTCTTCACAGAAATTTCAAGTACAATTTTCAGCTTCATACAGAAACATAAAAACCCAAGATAGTCAAAACACTCCTGAATAGCTGGGCGTTGGTGGAACACGCCTTTAGTACCAGCACTCAGGAGGCAGAGGCAGAGGCAGGGGGATCTCTGTGAGTTCGAGACCAGCCTAGTCTACAAGAACTAGTTCCAGGACAGCTTCCAAAGCCACAGAGAACACGCCCCCCCCAAAAAAAACACTCCTGAATAATAGAATTGCTAGTGATAGCATCATCACCATGTCAAACTGTGCTACAGAGCTATCCTAATAGAAAAACAGTGAGGTATTGGCATTAAAAACAGACATGTTGATCAATGGAATTGAAGTTCACACACCCATGGACACCTGATTTTTGACAAAGAAGCCAGAAAATACACAGTGGAACAAAAGAAAGCATCTTTAACAAATGGTGCTGGTCAAACCCTAGGCCAGTGAGCGACTCGTCTCATTAAGAGGTGTATGGGGGCAGGTGAGATGGGTCAGCAGTCAAGAGGATGAGGGTTTGGTACCCAGAACCCACAATAGGTGGCTCACAACTGCCTGTAGCTCCAGCCAGTTTCATGAGATCCAATGCCTTCTTGCCTCTGAGGGCACCTGTGAGTACATAGTGCCCATAAAGTCATGCAGACATTCACATATACATATAATCCAAAATCTTGAAGACAAAGAAGCTTAACAGCTAGGTGTGGTACACACTTGTCAACAGCACATGTGGACTGAACCTGTAGAATGGAGAATACCAGAGGAGTCCGGGCTATGTAACAAAAAGCAGCACATATACAAAACTACCAAATCGTGTTGTGAGGAACGGTCTGTGCTGAATTTTCTGTAGAGTCACCCACTTAAAGATTCCAAAAGTCACTGTAGTGATTCACCTTTCCTGTTCCCTACCCCGCTTTAGCTCCCACAGTAATCACCGGAGCAGAATAAACGTTCAGCATTTGGAACTATTTTCAAAAATGAGCTAAAGGGGATGACCATACAGTTCATGCCCTGAAAGCATGAGAAACTGAGTCTGAGCCCATGTAAAAGAAGGTGGACATGGGGCAGAGACAGGAGAATCTCTGGGGGCTTGCTGGCCAGCTAGCCTAGCCTGGGCAAAGCCTAGGGCAGTGAGAGAATCTGTCTCATTGAGAGGTGTATGGGGGCAGGTGAGATGGCTCAGCAGGAAAAGGTGCTTGCTGCTAAATTTAATGCCCTGAGTTTGACTCTCCAGGACGCACATGATAGGGGAGAACCCACCCCCGGAAAGCTGTCCTCTGACCTGCACTGCAAATACAGGCACACCACACACACTTGAACACACGTTAAAAAGAAAAAAGATGCTGCTTGCACCCTGGCCTCCATGCACAAACAAACACAGGCACTCTCAAATACAGAGAAGGAATGGGTAAGGTTTCTGATGTAAGGTTACCATGTTTACTTAGAACCAGATAAGGTTTCTTTTGGTTTCCACAGTTCCCAGTGAAGTAATTTAAACAAAGTCTCAAGAATGCAATCTTTGTCTGAAAGCCTTGTTCTGAGAAGCAATGATGGTCGTAAGGAGAAGGTGGTCGATTTTCTAAAGACACCAGATAGGACATAAACAGGAGAAGAAGCCATTCACAAAGCTTTAGTCAGAGTTGCTGGGACAAAGCCATTGAACACTTATTAGACACAACACCAATATGTCTCTGTGGCTTGTTGTTCTTGGTTTTCACGAAGGCAAAATGGTTATGATTATCCCACGTTAGTGACACTCTGCAGTATCATTAGGGATATTCGAACGTCGACTATAAACTAGTTTTTAGTTAATGTGCTCCTTCTGCCCCAAGAGAATGCCATTTCCCAATTTCTCTTTCATTTTCAGGCAGGCCTTGCATGGAATTTTCCTCTCTTCATTCTGATGGATTAATACATGGTCACGTGTGCCTCGTGTTGCTTTCCTCTGGGATGCCGGTACTTCCATTTCCTCCTGCTGCTTCATCTTTTCTCTCATTGTAAACTGTGACAAAAATCCTCTTCAGGGTCCCTCTGATCTCTAATGGGAGAGCCCAGAGATGAAAGAGAGGGAAAGAGAAGGGTGGTAGAGAGATGGGGGAGGGGGAGGCAGAGGGGAAGAAAAGAGAGAGAGATCATGAGAGCAGCTGGGAGCCCTAGGAGCTCTGAGTTGTAACCATCTCCATGGAAACAGTTCCTTAGCGATCAGTCTGGAAACAATTCTGCAGGCATCACTGGAGCAGCAGGGTCCAATCGCACCAACCCTTACTAAGAGGGTTCAAATGTGTGGGGGAGGAACAGAGAACTAAGCAGCTAATAAAATTGCATTTACCACCCATAATGCATCTTTAAACTAAAAGATTCCTACTGCCTGTAACAAAAAGGCAAAAGGCCTTCTAAATCTTCAGAGTGTTTGTAAAGAGCGCTCACCATCAAGAAATTATGGGAAACAAAAGAAAACAAAACAAAACACCTCCAAAAGAAACATCACCATTGGGTTGTGCTAAGCAGTAAAGCAGAATCATGAGAAAGATTGAGGAGGTCACCCATAACCACACAAAGTGTGTGTGTGAAGAATATCAAACTTATTCAATTCCAGGAAAAGAGTGAAAGGGGTTACAGAATTCCACTTTCCAAATCAGGTTGAAAGACTGAAAGAATAAAGAAACCATGTAATTTAAACCCAGGGAAGGAAGGCCCAGGGGAGAATTCACCCTAAGTGTGGAGCTTGGAGTTTTACTAATAAACCAATTACTTTTTAAAGGGAGAACATACTTTAGGCCCTAAATTTAATCCCCAGTTATTAAAAGAAAGGGGGGGATTATAGGATAACTAAGCCTCAGCAGAAGTCTGCAACCAGTAAACTACTAACTTATAACTTGTACACACACACACACACACACACACACACACACACACACACACGGTTTAGAGTTACATCAGTCTGGCTCTATCCCTCCAGGAACTATTTTCACTTGTTTTGGGATTAGGAGCAGCATCTCTGAAATGAATGCCACCTTTTAGGATTATAAAGACGGTGCTGACACGGAGGTAGGAGGATCATGAGTTCAAGGATATAGTTGACTACCCAAGAACAAAGACAATGAACAGTGCTTACCATGCCTAGTTCCAGTAAATTCAAAGTAAACCTTTATGACTTCTGCAACCTCTTTTGTTTTTCCTGTCTGTAATAATAATCACACTGTTCCCCCCACTCTTCTCTCTGAGGAATATTTTGGATTAAAATCAGTAGCGCGCTAAAGACATTTAAGTAGGTTTGAGGATGAATTGAAGCTGTGGAATGAACCAGTCTCACTCGGCTCCTCATGGGCTTCCCGGTGTCTTCAGTACAAAGAAATCTTCGAAGTGCACCTTGAAGGGGTGACCATCGCTCGCACCCCCCCCCCCACATTCACACTCAAACGTTTACAGCCTTAACCTGTCCTGCCTGGCCTGAGACTAAACTCGTCCTCTCTTTGACCGTTGACTTGCTTTGCTCTAAGTCTCTTAGGCCGAGATCGCACCTTCCCACAGATTGTCCATGTGCCATTTGGGTTAAAACTTAAAAGACCCTCATATATAGAGTTGTCAAGAGGAACCTTGGTCGCAGCACGGGACCCCCTAGAAGCGTTTCTTAGGTGTCTCCTGTGGGCATGGTTTTCAGGAACACCAAACTATTTAGAAGAAGCAGTCAGCTGCCTGGAGCCAAGGATGTGTCTGTCACCGGGATTAAGGCGGGCTAGGCGGGAAGGAGAGCGAAACCCCGCGGGGGCTAGGACCCAAAATCCTGCCGGGTGTTAATCTTCTCAGGCGAAACGCCCGTCCTTTCTGATTGCGTAACGCAAAAACATGGTGGACGAGAAAAGCCTTTCCCTGGTTTTGGAGGTGGGGGGGAAGCACAACCACGCGGCCCCCTCCCCTCGGGG